TGCCTTTTCTGTTGTTTCTTCTGATTTAAATACTAAAATATTCTTTATCCAGACCAAAAGATCCGGCCGCAAATTCTCAAGTTTATACTTATATAAATGATGTGTTTATATGTGTTTATGTAACAAGTACTTAAGAAGGTGCAACTATAGTATTTTTTTCTTAGTCTCACTTAGTTTATAAATTTTATCATAGTGGTAAGGTGGTTTGGTTTTGAGTGATAAGAAACATTTAAAATCATTTTTATTTTTATTTTTTGCATTGAAGCTTTGTCTCGAATATCCATTTGAACCTTGAATATTTATTAAGCTAGAGAACCGTGTTGAAGATAAATATTTAAAACAATAGTATGTTCACGTATGTGATTTTTTCATTTTATACAGTATCTAAATTAATATTGAAAAGCTACAATATTTGCTTATTTATTTGTAAATTAAAATAACTTGAAAATTGATATTCAAACAACCCCTAAGATTGCCAACCAATCTTTAAGCAACAAAGTGTTTATTTATATAGTTGTTAGGCGTAACTTGGGACATTGCATTAACACCTACCTAATCAAACTAGTTATTATTATTATTATTATTATTTTGAATTCTATGGATCAGTAGTATTCAAATAAAAAAAAAAATCAGCTAATTTTGTTAGATGGGTATAGAGATATTTTCAGTCTAAGTTTTTTAAAAATTTTGTTAATAAATTTTTTAAAGTACGTTTTGATTTTTATGAAAAAAAATATCTTGCCACTATTAGATAAAATTTTTATTGAATTATATGAATCCATAAAATTAAATAAAAAAAGGTTCATCCAAAATAAGTTTTGAATTTGACTGCAGCTTACATCTTGGTTTTCTTGTAACTTTGAACGAAAGTATCTTGACGCCCAATTAAACAATTTGGATAAAAATTTTTTAATTGGATATTATGGACTCTTAGAGCTAAATAAAAAAAATTTCAACCAATTTGATCGGAGGGTGTCAAGATACTTTGTTCAAAGTTTTGGAAATCTGATATTTTTGATTAGTTGATTGCACGCTTCCCTGGACCATCAATTTAGTTAGCATACCCAAAAATGGAATTACTATGATGACATGATGACATATGTCACAATTTAAATAGCTTATGATATTGTCCAACACTGCTCTGATTAGTAATTACCTTATGGGAAAGTCCTCCTCGCTTCTTGGTAAATTCTCATGTCAGAACAACAGGTGCATACATACTGAGCGAAAGCAATTAGTCAATATTAGTTTATTATTCTTTTATTAATATATTTTTACAAAAATCTTTACAAAAGTTCGAGTTACTTGCCTGCTGAAAGGCGACGATCCTGTTACTGGAAGTTTTGGCATTGAAATTGAGAAAAGGAAAAGTATTTATGAACTTAAGGAAGAAATTAAAAAATACTTTCCTCGGCTTGATAGTGTTGACCATGTTGAGCTTGCACTCTGGAAAGTGAATATTCCAATAGACCGGTGCAATGCAATCCAGCAATTCACATTTAGTGAAGATGACTGTCTTAACCCGATAAAAACAATTGATGGCAAAATTCCAGAAAATTGTCTCCACATAGTATTCGAGATTAAACCTGGTATTTAATATTTATAATTACCCATACTTTCGTGATAACCATAGATAATAAATAATAATATCTTAATTCTTATTAATATTTGGTTTTCGCTGCTTTTTATTTAGTGTACATTATACAAGATGACGTTGAATTTAAAGCAATTCAATCATTTTGCAGAAGGCACGATTCCTTACCACACGTTCAAGATCTGGAACAGATTCTATTGATGGAATTTGATACGAAAATACCAATCCGTAGAAATATTTACGATAAAAAGAAAAAGCAAATTCCAATGCTGGATAAATATTTTTGTGATGAGAATAAGGAAAATAAAACAGCAAATATATTATCATCTATGTGTGAATCGGCAACGTGTCAGACATATTCAGATCCAGGGTCTTTATCGAGTAATTACGATTATTTGATTAGCTATATTGAAAGAGGTATAAAACATAACTATTCTGAACCATGATTCTTTTCTATATAATATTAATAATCATATTATTAACAATAGGGAGTTGCTTATGCAATAAATATGAACAAAAATGGTAAAAAATACAATTACACTGATGCAACTATAAAGAATATAAAGAATTTGCGGCCGGATCTTTTGGTCTGGATAAAGAATATTTTAGTATTTAAATCAGAAGAAACAACAGAAAAGGCA